CCATAAATCCCTCATTTCCATGTTATATACTTTATGTGCAAACTCTGTAAATGAGTAAAAATAAATACTTAGAAAGTCCTCTAAATGAAATAATTCTTTTAATCCTACTAATGTTAGATTAGAAATTAATATTTATCCTTGGAAAAAAATTCTTGCCTAAATAAGAATTTTGACTAAATTTTGTGTAGGAAGGGTGTCAGAGGATTCAACATCTGTAATTTTATTTATACTCAACAAATCTATTCTACTACTGTTAAACTGAGACCTAGAAAGTCTTAAATGACTTGCCCGAGGTTATGTAATGAGTTAATTCCTGACCTAGGACAAGTGTCCAGGTTTGGTAATTCTCAATTCCGTCTAAATATACTAAATCTTAAACTTCTGATGGCCTCAAGATGTCTTAAACCATCTATGGTTGGAGTCCTAGTTCTAATGATCAAATACAGAACTATCTATCACATAGAGTGCTGTGCTTAAAAAGAAACAAATGGAGTGGAAAGCATGTTTATGAAGAAAGGTAGGGGAGACTACCCCAAAAAATATATTCATGGATTATTTTATAAAGTTAGGCTAGAAGAGCAAAGGATGGTAGTAAATAAATGTCATGCTTTAAAACTGAATTTTGCAGATACTTTTCAGCATGATTTTTCTGTTTCACTTTCCACCATCAGCTGTGAGCTGTTTCCAAGTGTGAAATCGCCTAAGAGAGGAAGCAAAGCTGTCATTTGACATCTGGGAGCGTGGAGATTGGACTGCGGTGAAAAGCATTTTGGACTTCTTCAATTTACACACATGTTCACTTATAAATTCTCAAGTCTAAAAAGTATTCAATGAGAAATATCCACGTAAATTTCAAGCATTTAAAATAAAAGGCTCATAACAAGGTGGAAAATAAAAGTGAATGACACACACTGATTTGAGGAAATCATATCAACTTGTTTGAGACCAGAATGGGAAATTTAAGTGATTATATTAATGTAACTGACATAAATAATTTTACTCACTTGTCTCAGATTGCATGTAAACTTTGAAATACAGTCTTTTGTATATCATATGCTTTAATAGTATTGATTATACTTTCTAGTTGCATTTTTATGATGAGAGTCAAGACTGCTAAGAAAAAAAATACTGGTAGAAAAAGAAAAAAACAAATACTTTCTTGACATTTTATCTTATTTTTCTTTTATACTTAAAATGCTATTACAATAATTTATTCTATACTATGATAATTTAATAGCTCGAATGATAAAGCACATCAAATCCTTTGACTAAAGACTTTACATGTGTGTATGTGCATACACAAATGGAAATAAAACTAAAGTAACTAAAAGGAAGTCTTTTGAAGAAAATCAATTTACTCCAGTTTTTATTCTATAATCGCTCACAATGAAAACTAGAAGAACCTGTCTAAAAGACTTCTAATACTGTATCTAAAAATCTCCTAATATGGAAACTAGACAGTGTTATGGTTGTATTGTCATGCTACACAATCTATTTCTACTTTGTGGACTGTTTCTTTGCTTTTTCTCTTCCTGAACTCCATTCTGCATTTCTGCAGCATGAAAGCTACTGTATCTAAAAATCTCCTAATATGGAAACTAGACAGTGTTATGGTTGTATTGTCATGCTACACAATCTATTTCTACTTGGTGGACTGTTTCTTTGCTTTTTCTCTTCCTGAACTCCATTCTGCATTTCTGCAGCATGAAAGGAACCCATTTACCGTGAATGATGTTTATTTAAAATAAAACCTTTCTAGAGAATTGTCCTAGATAATCTAAGGATACAAAGTGAATCTAAAAGGAATGGTTTCCACTTTGAAAACAGGGCTGGGTTTGATCAGTGAATTCATATTCTCAAGACCCTCTTGATGGGTCTGCAGCTGCAGCCATTTATGTGCTGGCTTGTTCACAGATGTAGACAGAGAAAGCTCCACAGTTTCTGTCTTTTTGTTGTTGGATTTGTTTTCTTTAATATAATAAAGAGGCAACTTTTTAAAAAAGTTCTTAGTTTTGTTGTAGAAACTTGTGTATTTCAGACATCCTTGATAATATACATGGTTGAAATGACTATGACTTTTTAAAATCTAAGATCACAATGTAGGCAGAAACTATACTTAAATAACAGAAGGTGATCATTTGCATTTCAAAATTTATCTATCCTGCTTTTCCCTCAATTAGACCAAAACATGTTGATTCACAGGTTTCTGTGTGTGTGTGTTTTCTTTTTAAAACTTATTTATAGAGCAGAATAATGGCCCCCCTGCTAGTTTGGCATTTGCTCAAGTTTCTGTCCATGTAAATCGAATCTGTTACTGGAAATTTTTCTCAAAATATAAAGGCACATCATCCACAAAATAAAAAGATACATTGCTGATATTATAAAGTACAGGGCAGGTGGATAATGTTTTTAGGACAAATATGTGATAAGGATTCCCAGGAGGGAGGAGTGGTAGGAGTAGAGAGGTTAAATGCCATTCAAACAGAAGTGAATCATTCTCACTGTAATCTTGGACACCTTTACTTTCTAACCAAACATGAGCTGCTTAACATGCTTTGGAGTTACTTGGACAACAATATTAAGGTTAGAGTTGGGAAGTGGGAAGAAAGGAGGGATGTGGGAGGGGAATTCCTTCAACCCTTAATGTTTCTAAGGGTAAATCAAAAGGTGACTAAGTATTCTATGTCCCTCCTCATGTGCTTCTCATTTGTGACTTTCTTTGATTTGTGATTTTTATACATTGAAACATTAACATATTATCATTGCTACTATCCTCTGAGAAGAGCAGGAAAGTCTACTTGTAGTTTTTAATCAGTAACAGTGCTATTTGGTTTTGAGACATAATTTACAAATTTTTGCTCTGATTCCTCTTGAAGCAAGGAGGAAGGATCACACAGACTTAACCGAGTTCTATAACTCTTTAGTTAAGATCATCTAAATGAGAACATCAGGATTACTTTTCTGTTAAGGCCATTACTGGTTTTGTTTTACCTTGTTGCTAAAATTAATAGGCCCAAGGAATGGAGAGACTTTCCACAGTGTTCAATGCATGTCATAATACTAGAACACTTTTGCAACTCACAAAGCTTAAAAGTACAATTCTTTTATGCTAATAATTACAACAAAGCCTTTCTTCATACTTCACCTTTTTTCTAATGCTAGTGAAGGACAACCTGGAAGAAGACAGCAGACATCCATTAATGGCAGACTGCCACCTGCCGGTAGTCTATGAGAATTGTGATTTTTCTGAGAAAAGGCTTCAAAATTAGAACTTAGAAATTGATCTGTATTAAATTCAGTATTTCAGTAGATGAAACTGAAAGTATGGATCAGTTGATAAATTTAGTATGGTTATGTTCCATATATATTAAAGCTCTCAAAATGCCAACATGCCATGGATATTAAAGTAAACATGACTGTGCTTCAGACTAAAGAAAAATAATCTGCTAGAATGACTAAGTACAACCTTACAGATAGTTTTGAATAGAAGAAAACAATAAAAATAGGAAGTAAGGAGTCAGCTATAAACACTGCACAATGCCCCATGCACTTTCAGTTTGGCTGTGTAGCTTACACCCTCCTCACTTCAGGATGTAACAGGCTTCACTCAAAAGAACTCCTGGATTTAATTTTGGTCCTAAAACCTCCAAATTCATTTTAATTAACAAATGTATTTACATACATTGGTATCTAAAATGTTACTTCTTATCAAATTAGAAAGTGAAGGTAAAGATAAATTTGTTTAAAAAAAAAAATCAGGTAACTATAGTAAAGTGATTTCACCATGAAATTTTTTTTTGTTGTTAGACCATTAACTAAATCATACTAGCAAGGTTCAAAAAGAGCATCACATTATCTATTTGAGAAAACAAAAAATACAGGTGTGCTCTTCCAGGAAGAAATAAAATCAAGCAGTCCTAATATGGGGGAAGAAGGAAGAAAGAAACAAAACCCAAATCGCTGTTTTCGGGAGAGTTTTAGAATATTTGCCTTGTAGGTTGAAAAACCTTGCTATTCTTCCATACAGAAATAATTCTTAACAATGAAGGTTGTATCTAAAAACAATATAGCTATTTCAATCCTAATTATAATCATTTCCCATTACGCAGAGAAACAAGGTTAGCACCAATACACTGGTCAGCCGTAAGCATTAAATACTGTATTGATCAAAAGCTAAGCAGATCATGTCAACCTAATCAGATTGAAACTGCTTCAGAGGCCAGTGGATGACAAGTGAAGCAACTTTAGCCATCAAAAGAGGGTACTGTAGACAAGTGGTGAACAAACTTTGATTTCAAATATAGCCCCATTATCTGCACTGATGACAGAGAACTAACTCAAATCCAATTCATATGCTTAAGCAACCTATGATTGTCAGGAAAATATTGGAAACCCGCAGAAATAAATATCTAATTTAAAAAAAAATAAAGACAATACAGTAATGGCAAGAGAAGCCTGTTGTGTTAAGTATTTGGCTAAATGGGCTATTTTAAAACAAAAAGAACAAGCTTCCGAAATGTTCTCAAATATAGAAAGAATTCTTAAAACCTCATTCAAAAATGGCCGGTTGGCTCATCACCGAAATCACAATGCATTTTTTTTTTTAAATCCACATTTTATCCATTTTTAGCTTTAGGAATTTTTACCCTTTTAGCCAGCTACTTCTCACATCTTAATAAAAATCATCCATTTAAAGAGGTTCAGGGTATTTGAAGATCCTAGAAAACACTAAGAAGTTAAGACATTTCTAAGAATTCATTGCCAGTTCTAAGTATAAACCCATTTAAAACAACAAATACATACATACACACATATACATACACATATATACCTATAGATTATACATAATGGTTTATCCCCAAATTTTCTTTTGAAGGGTTAAACAGATAACCAGATCCTACACACATGTGAACTGGTAGTGAAAAATACAACTTGTATTTTGAAATGAGAGCTGCCGAAACCACTTTTTCAAGTGAAACATTTTAGGAGATTGCTCTAACCTGGGGCACAGTACATTCTCTCTATGGCATCGCTGTCACAGGAATCTTCAACCTCACTCCACCTGCTAAAATACGTTAGCTGAATGTGTCCTAAAAACAAAACGACAGGAGAAATCAAAACATTTTTCTCTTCCATTTTCTGCAGAAGTGAACTGTAATTACTCCTTTTGTAGCTAAAAACAGTATCATTAAGAATAATGGCATCATTAAGTACTAGAAGCTATTACTGGGGGTGAATTTGCTGCACTGATAATGAAGCTCTAGACAGGAAATGAAGATACTAATTACAAGATAAAACGCCTACTCAGTTAATTGGAAGCAACAGCGAATAAAAAGAAATGCATTTGCAAAAGTTCCTGACCTCTATCATTCAATAAGATGTTGTTTGGGTTCAAATCACGGCACACAATTCCCTCTCTATGTAAAGCATCAAGGGCTACCACCATTTCAGCTGCCCATCTTTGAATGCAGCCCTCTGGGATGTAAAACCTGGAGTTTAGTGCTAATTTTTTATCAAGGTCCTCAAAAATCTGATGTATTTCCTTGTCTCCTTCTAGTGCTAGCCCACTTTGTCCCTTAGTCTCAGAGTCTCTCTGAAATAAAGAAGTTGGTTCCTCTTTGGCCAAATCATCAGTGTGATCTGTAAACAACAATACTTCTTCTGTTTTTAAAGTGTCTGTGTTCGCATTATATTCATTAGCACCTGAGAGTGGATTGGAAATATGGAATAAGCCTTCTTCTGTGGTGTTTGCAGTTACTGCTGACCCAACCACTCCAAGTCCCTGAAACTTAGGATCTGAGCTGTGCAACAAAGACATGTCTCCTGAACTACTACAATCAACAGCTGCTACAAATAACACCCCAAGATCCTCCTGTGCATAGTGTTTCTCTGTTATACTATGGGATTTGGATCTAGAGGGATCACTCAATGCCTCTGTGCATTCTTCATGTGCTTGGCACTGTTCAGTACTAAGCCTGAGGCATAAAACATCAGGGGCTTCCAATAGTTTACTTTCTATTATGCCTATATTAGTCTGTGTAAACTTAGTAGGTCCCATTGCTGCAGCTTCTTTTGTTGGCTCCAATTCACCAGGTAGATTTACAAGAAGATCAGGTCTTCCTTCATCAGTACTACTGACATCATCAAAAGCAGCCTCTTTAAAAGAAATAACTGGGACTGAGTCATCTGAGCCCCTGCTAATGGTGTCTTGAGCTTTAAACTCTACTTTGCTTTCAGTAGTACTAAAACTCCTGGAAATGCTATCTTCATCTGGAAGAGTAAAGAATGGTTTCAAAGGTTCTGACTTTAGACTATACAGTTTTTCTCCAAAATCAAGTCCCAGGAGTTCGCTTGTACTGTCCTTACTGTCTATCCTAAAGAATTCCATGGGGCTGTTTTTCGATCTACTGAGGGAATCTGATGTTCTTGGAGAACTAACTGCTTCTGGGTCATCATCTCCAGGGAAGAACTTCAGCTCATGAGCTATCAGCTGTGTGCTGGGGCTGTCACTGTCAGCAGCAAGGTGTGCGGGGAAAATTTTCACAGCTTTGGTATACACACTACTCTCTTCATTCTTTGTGAAGGGCTCCTCATTCAGAGATCCTGGTTCAATCTTTTCTTGCCCATACTCATTGCATAATGTTAAATAACTAGTAGTGCATTCCTCTTCTGAACTGGAACCAGAATCTGGCCACTTTGGAGAGCTATCTTGGCCATCATCTTCCTGGTTGCTATCATCTTGAGAACTTGGAGTAAGACTAGTCTTCAAAGGTAGAACTTTAAGCATGCTTCCACCATCACTTCCTCTGGATTCAAAGCTGCTGCTGTCCTGAGGACTAGAAGTTGGCTGTTGCAGGTGAACTTTAGTAAGTGTAGATTTTTTCACTTCCTTAATGTCAAAGCTTTCTTCAGGACTTCTGTTTAGAAATTTACTGATATATGACCAGAGTTTGCCACCTGTGAACAAGTATAACCAAAAAAAAAAAAAGAAAAGAAAAAAAAAAAGATCCCCCAAATTAATAGTTATTTAATTAAGCCATAAGAAAAATGAAAGTTTTTAATGATCATTTAAAAAGAAGTCAATGATACCCATTAATATCAAGTGTGCCATAAGACTAGCATATTTAACAAAAATGCCTTTTTGTTATTGCTGACTAGTGAGTAAGGTTTCAAGCATATCTCTTGATATCAACTATTTTTTACATGACAACTTGTTTCTTCCTTTGATGGAAAATTAGTTATAAGAAATACTAATATGAAATCTCACAGCTAAAATTCTGATTTAAAGTTAAATATTAGTTAGCCTTAGAAACATCTGATTATGTTCTTATCTGTTTGTGTAATAAATTTTTCAAGCATGGCTTCCTTGTCAAATGGAAATAATAAGTAAGTGCTGTTCAAAATTCTATACTATGGGGGGGAGGGGAAATCAGCATTACTATTCCATTTTGAAAATGCCCAGTCCAAGACTGGAGGGAAAATTTGGCACCTGATATATAATGCCTTCATAAGTGACATATTAATAATATTTTTCCCATTTTATGCCCCCCATAATGTAATGTGTTGTGTAAGATCAAGTAAAGTTATTGAGGAAGATTAACTAGGCAGCCACCAATGAGGCAACCTACTGTAATTCTGATCTGTATTCTAACATATATCTATAAAACTAAACTAAAATCATAAAACTAACACTCAAACCAAAATCACAAAAATCCCTTTTACATTAATCATAGAAATCAAATGAACACAAAATAATCTGGTGTTTCACCAGCAATACTTGTTATATAGTTATTATTTCACCATATTTTTCTTGTTTTATTTTAACCATTAGAAACTCAATTCCTTTTGCTAATTAGAATCTTTACAGAAAAACACTATAGTAAGTACCAAAAACCCACCACAGCTGGACTGCCTAGAAACAGTATTACGAGAAAAATAATTAATTAAATTTGATCCAGAAATCTTAAAAACAGTAACTGTGGAAGCATACTTTGTGAAGATATAACTGTAGCTTCCAAAAATGGGAAATTAAAAATAACGTGTTAAAAATAAATCAATCTACTCATACGTAGAAAGCAATTTTTCCAGCACATCACACAGAACCCATGCTGGGCTTTTCTTCATACTACATTTACCACTTAGAATTTTTTTCCTCCTAGTTTCCTCAAGATCTGCTTGTCAAAATCCTACCAATTCTTGAAGGCACTTCAGAATTTGTTCTCTTCTATCATTTTTTTAATACCCCTTCGGTGGATATAATTCATATCTTCTCTGAATCCTCCATATCACTTTTTCCCTCTTATGACATTTACAACATTCTATTTCACATTAATATTACTTTTATATTTTTATTATCTCCTTTACCAGACTGCAAGGTCTTAATAACTGCAGGCACAGAATTCTATCTAGCATATAAAATAGGTATTAAATAAATATTCATTAAACTGAGTTATAAAAAGATGACATCTTTACAAATTTTCTGAAAACCTTTCAAGAAAAAAAAGTATAAGTACTAATAATTCGTCATGCTAATTAGTAGTATAGGGGTCATATTTTCTTCCTATTTTAAAACTAATACATAGTTTTATTGTAAAATTTTCAGAAAATATGGAGAAAAAAGAGAAAAGCAGCAAAAATTCAGAATATACAAATCACCCATAATCCCACTACCTAATGATAAACACTATTAAACCATTACTGTTACTATTTTCAGACTTTTTTATTCACAATTAACATAATATAAACATTTTTAAATTTTCATGAGAATATGAACTTGAATAGCTATATAGCATATCCATGTGATAGATACTATGATGTAGTTAAATGTTCCTTGGGCATTTAAGTTGCTTCTAGACTTTTACTATTAGAATTAAAATAATAAATACTTTTACATACAAAATACTTGATATATCTGATTACTTCATCAGGACAGAATCCTAGAAATGAAAGTACTGGATCAAGAAGCACGACATTTTTAACACTTCCAGTACACGTTACTAAATTGCTTTATCTAAATCTATCCCTATAAACAATGTGTAACAGTGCTGTGTTCACAGCAACTTGCCTATATCAGATATTAGCCAAATTTACCAATTTGATTAATCAAATATGGCATCTTATAATTTCCCTTGTTAGATAAAAAATTTTAAAGTGACTGTTGGTATTTTCTTTATGGAATTTGTTCCCAGCCTAAACAAGTACCCTATCATGAATTATAAAAACTGCATTTTCAAGGGTGGGAAAATCTGTTTTAGCTCTTCTCAATTCTCTGATGGGTGCTTGGTTACATTTAATGCTCAGTATAGAGCAATAAAAACAAAATTTTGGTCCTATCACATACTTTTTTCAATTACAGAATCATGAAAACCTACAAGAACACATTAATCCCATTGAAATTTCTCACCCACAAAAGCTGAGTGGATTTTTACTTTCTGCAGAGTTAAGATGGTACTAATAGACAAACTTACACAAACATCAACATTATTATCATAACAATAATAACATTAACCTTAAAAAAAAACCCTGCTACTGCTAAATCACAAAATATAAATAGAAAATACATAAAATATTTATAATTTTTAACACTTTAAGAATATAAATAACACTTTTCTAAGTCCTTTTGAAGCATAATTGTAGATATTGTACCATTTTAAACTATTAAAATAGCAATTCAGAAGGTTTAATTAAAACATTTTGTCTCTCATCAGATTTTAATCTACTGGTTTTCTACACAATTGCAAAGTAAATTTGTTAGTTTGCTTGACCAGAATTAGGACTTAAACTTAATATGTATGATGAAATATTGCTATAGCAATGATCAAAATCATCTTTTGACCCAGCAATTCCACTTCAAGAAATCTGTCCTACAAACACTTCTCAAAAAACAAAACAAAACAAAAATGCACATAGATATATACATACAAGTACTGGAAACAATTTAAACACCAATTAACACAAGAGTAGTTAAACAAATTAAGGTAAATCTGCACAACCACTTTGTATCTACTTGAAAAAATAATACCAATATTTACAAATACATAGTGCTTACCATGTATCAGGTACTATTCTGAGCAATTTACATATATTAACTATTTAATCCTCACATCAACGCTATTATGTAGGTAATTATTATTATACCTATTTTACAGATGAGGATACTGAGGCACAGAAAGTTTAAGTAACTTGTCCACGGTCGCACAGCCAGTAATAGTAAACCAGCATTTGCACTCATGAAGCCCAGCTCCACAATCTTTGTTTTTAATTACTACACTACCCTTACTGTCATAAAACAGACTTATATATACCGATAAAGAAAGGAGTTCTTTCCCGCCCCCCTTCTATTTGGTATATCCATACTCAGAGGCTTCTGTAATAACCTTTGTCTTCTAACCTGGCCTTTCATCTTTTCTCTGACTGACTCAGTATTCAACAATCCTACACTGAGCACCTTCCATATATCAAGCATTCTGCTAATTGTTGGGATATATATGATGAATATTACATAATCCCTAATCTTAAGAACTTTAACACTCTTGGCCTTGACTGAATACATTGTTTCTCCTCCTTTCTTCCTCAAATAGAGTTAAAATAAGGAATTCATTAGAAGGAACAATAAATATTTTAAACCTCTCTCCTAAAATCCTATCTGGTATATCCAACTGCTTACTCAATACCACCTGAATATTTATATTAATAAGCATCTCAAATTCACAAGACTTTTCCTTCTAAATCTACTCCTCCCACATCTTAGAAAATGGAAACTCCATGCATTCAATTATTTTAGTCTAAAACCTTGGAGTCCTGAAAGGAAGAATCATGTCAGATCTTCTACCTTCAAAATATATTCAGACTCTAAGAACCATTCCTCACCAGCTCCACCACTAACACCTTGTCCAAGCCACCATAATTTTCACCGAAAGGAAGAATCATGTCAGATCTTCTACCTTCAAAATATATTCAGACTCTTAAGAACCATTCCTCACCAGCTCCACCACTAACACCTTGTCCAAGCCACCATAATTTTCACCTGGATTGCTGCAACAACCTCCAAACTGGTCTCCCTGCTTCTGCTTTGCCCTCCTATTTTCTATTTTCCACAAAGCAGCCAGAGCGATCCCCACCTTGCCCTCCTTTGCTCAGCATCGTCCAATGACTTCCTATCTCATTCAGAATAGAAGTCAAGTTTTTAAAGTCATCTGTGAGGCCAAACAGTATCTGCCTGCTTCCTTCTCACCTCTCTACACTCACTCCCTGCCACTCTTCCCATTCTGCTACAGCCACACTGATCTTGCTGTTTCTCATACACCAAGCATACCCTGACACACCCTGTTTTATCTTGCTAAGACATTTTTCCTCACATACCCACACTATTCCTTCTCCCACTTCCTTCAGGTCTCCAGTCAAAAGTCCCCTTCTCAATAAGGTGACCACCCTATATAAAATAGCAACCCACACTCATCCCTTTGGCAACAAAGGCCCCCTTCCTTTATTTAATTTTTCTCCAGGCCCTGCCCACACCCAAGCACCAGAGGGACTTGCAGGCCTGAACGCCCACTGTGCGGGCTACCCAGTGAGCATTCAGGACCCAAGCCATGCCTGGGGACCAATGCACCCACAGGCCCTCCCACACCTGAGCACTTGAGGGGCACACAGGTCCAAACACCCACCACGCAGGCTTCCCAGGTGAGCATGCAGGACCCGTGCACTGACTAAAAAGGAGCCAAGGCAGCCCACCACACACTCAATTACATTGATACAAGGAAAGTCACCAGCAGAACCTATAAACAGAGGAGGAAGTCTTCCCCTCATAACCCACTCCAAAATGATACAAAAAATAAGTGCCCTACCAGATGACCAGATATCAGCATAAAAATACTAGAACTGCAAATAAACAAGAAGATATGGCATCACCAAAGGAATATGATAATTCTCACGTACCAAATCCCATAAAGCAAGAA